TGCATGCCGTAGTCGTTAGACCATTGACCTCGCATCCCTACAAAGCCGGGACGGAGCACGCCGGGTTATCACCGGACCAGGCTTTCCCCGGGGGGGGGTAAGGAAAGTGTGGGAATAGACCGTGGTGCAGAAACCGTGTGGAAAGCACGGGTCTGTCTGGAGGCCAAGTTCAAGAGGACAAGCGTTAAACACGAGAAATTGTACTTAGTGATGACGAAATGTGTGACTTTGATCAACCTGCTGCTGTTCCGAGCGTTGAATAAATATCTCACCAAATTAATGTTGTTGTTTTGTGAACATTATCTATCTCCAGGGCGAAGGAACACGGAAGCTGAAGGACTATCTGGCTCTGCCGCCGACGGAGTACTCGCTGCTCGATCCCAAAATGATCACCCGTTTGTCCGAAGAAACATTCAGGTGCGGCGGGATCATGGTCATTCCTCCTCGGGGGTTCCATAGTACACGCAAGCGAGAGCGCCCATCCACGCCTTCCAATCGGATGGTGTACGTCGTCTTGGACCCTGTGTTGGTGGCAGTTTTGATGTTGCTGCGCATATTGAGCCAATGCCTTTTCAGAGTTCCGTCAGGAACGAGAGCCATAACAGAGCTACGTCCCGTTTCTCTTTCGTTAACCTCGTGGCCGTTGTTGAAGGCCGCGGGGCAACAATGGAACAAGCTGCACCTCGACGCCCGTCGGTCACTCCCTCCGCCAGTTTTCCACTGCTTCACGTGTTGTACCCATCCTGGGTAAACAATCACGGATGAAGGTGTAGTATCTCCCATCCTTCCGCTGCATCTGACTTTACCATAGCACTGAAATCCTCTGTGACCAAGATGACAAGGCAAGGCGAAAAGCGCGGTTACCTACTCATATACTACCACTGCTCGTGGCGACAGACATGTTTATCGTTTGTTTCGTGACGATGCACTTCTCTTGGCACGCCCGTTACACACGGTCGGAGTTTTCGATGCTATTGGTGTTCACTAGCCCTCCCTGCTGCCGCCGTGTTCCCCCCAGCGGTCGCCCCGGTGGTCTAGTGGGTAGCCTCGCAGCCTGCTAAGGGCCAGGTCATGGGTTCGAGTCCCGGCAGAGAGAGTTTTTTTCTCACTAAATAAATCCTGGTCTAGGATGAAAGCGACTCGCTGCAAAGCTCGTTTGTTAGTAAACCATAATCGACTTTGTAAGTCGCGAGGGAAGGGATTGCTGTACCCTTCTCGCGATAAAAATACCTCAGGCATGAACCGCAGGAGGGGGTCCAACCCCCCCCTCCTATGTGACCCCGGTTGGGTCGTCTAGCTAGTAGAAGTGGAGGATAGGGGCCAGAGGGGCAGACGACAGAGTCCAATGATGGGAGAAAAACAACAACAACAACAACGCCATGTAAACTCCTTGAACCCCAACACCGGCCGATCTTTATGCAGGATGGATGGCGCCACGATGAGCATTGTGGGGACGAAGATCAAGCCCGTCCTCTTCGTTCGTGTCGAGGTCCAGCCTGAGAACAGCATGGCAAACATCATGGTGGAGAGGGTCGAGCTGGATGGGTCTGAGGCGGTCCGCAGCGCGGGAGGTTCCTTTAACGGTGAGGGCCGATGACCACCGAACCGGTTCTTGGAAAGTTCTTGTTGTGAGATAAACGGCAGACATAACTCGCTGCCCTCTAGTAAAATGTTTCCTGTTTTCCTTCCGCCTGCAGCGTATGGGACAGGTTGCCATTGCGGTTTTGAACGAACAGCGGAGCCTATCCATCTGGTTTGTGTGTCGGTTCGGGTCTTATAGGGTAAGGCCCAGGTGATCGGGGGTGAAATAGGCTTGCTTTCCCCCACCAGTCAAGGTATTGGTAGATGCCTTGTGTTGTGTTGGAGTATTTCGTAGAATGCCAGGGTAAGAACTGTTCTTCGTGGGTTCTACTTCTCCCCCCCTAGAGATGGCGTAGCGTAGAACGAGGATTGCGAAATGTATCGTGTTCGTCTGGAGCCCGTAGCTGTAGAGAGCGAAAGAGGGAGAGACAGAAAGACAGATAGAGACAGGGACAGACAGACACACACGCAGAGAGAGAGAGAGAGAGAGAGAGAGAGAGAGAGAGAGAGAGAGAGAGAGAGAGAGAGAGAGAGAGAGAG